TTGCCCATGGCTAGGCAGTCACATGGGTTCTGGTGATGGTGGGGCAGGGCCGTGTGACTTCTGATCAGAGCACTGAGCATAAGTGATGTGCACCAACTCCACGCTCTGTGTTTAATGGCAGATATGGGACCCTCCTCTAAGGGGCTCTTCCCATGTGCCACAGTGACCCTCATGTGCTGAGGGAGGGTGCTGTTTCCCCAGCCTGCAAGAGAGGTCAAGGAGCCGCTCTTGAGTTGAGCTGCCTGTTGACCCACACAGACAGGCCCTGAGAACAAGAAGCAGACCTTTCCTCCTATGAGGGGCTATGATTTGGGGCTTACTCATTATAGCAGTAGAATATAGCTTATTCTGACCTGAAGAATGTAAGTCATTTTTAAACAGAGAAACTGTGACCCAGCGAGTTTCAATAATGTGAGGTTGCACATAAAGAGTGGCCTTGAAACAAAACCCAGGCCACTCTAGAATAGATCCTAGGCCCTCATCACTCCATCATGCTGCCCCAAAGGACTGGCAGAGTGTTTTATCATTTTTTTTATGGCATGTTCAGGTATAGTCATGCAAAGAGACAGAGGTCAGGCTCTGGGAGAAAAGGGCCATTGCACTCACAGGGCCACATGGGAAGGTACCAAGGTGATTAGAAGTTGGGAGACAGGATGAAGAGGGATGCTGAGGCCACATCCTTTTGAGGGGTTTCCATAGGAAAGGCAGGGCAGACAGGGTAAGTTTAGGATTGGCCAATCTGAATCATTTGAGTACCTTTGGGTTATTAGGGTGGCTTCTGGTTGCTCAGAAATTGATCCTGGGAAGATTAAAGAGAAGAATTTTTCAAAGGCAAGCTCCTGTCTTCTGCCCATGGCCACCCTGTGCCTCATGTGGCTTGTGTGGCATGCTGTCTCTAGGACCTGTGAATATAATGGGTTGTGCTGTCTCAAGCCTCTCTTCCATCTCCTCCTGTGGCTTTACCCAACTGATCACCTCATATGAGGTTACAAAACGGAACCGCAGAGGGAGAGTGGCTGTCCTGCTTAGAAACCCCTCAGAGAGACGAAGAAATGCAAGAACATCTTTTGCTCTGGTTGGAAGGTTCTGTCATCCTTGCTGCTCAACATGCTTGGCTCCCATCAAGGAAGGTTCTGCCCTCCAGGCAGATAAACACATGTGCTCCCTGTTTCCTGCCTTTGATGGCCAATCCTAGGGGATGACATTTGCAGTTCTTAGCATGGCATGCAGAACACAGCTTTGGTTACAACCCAGTTCTTCAATTTAATCCCATCCCTTTGACTGTCTCTCAAATCCTCTCCTTTGCCCGAGGCCCCTTGAGCTCCATGTAGCACACTTTCACCCTCCTTTCTGTGTTGCTCTGTGCCAAAGTCACCTACATAGTGTGCTGCCCCATCTCCATTGACTGCTCAGGCCTTAGTAGTCACTCTTCCAGCAAGCCATCAGCGAAGTTGTCATCCACCTATAGCTCAAAAATGTTCAGAGAGTATTGAGTCCTGGTGGGGAAAAATTCCTTGGAAGACAGTAGTTTGAATATAGTCTGAGTTACTTTCTTTGTCACTGGGAGAAAATCCAAATACCTGCAACTGAAAGAAAGAGAGATGTATTTTGGGTTACCTTTTAGTTCATAGTCAACTGGCTCCAAGGCAGGATGGCATGGCAGAGGTGTGTATGGAGGAGAGCTGCTCACAGCCTGGCTGACAGGAGTCAGAGAGTAAAGGGGGAGCCATGGAGGGAGACAGACCCTTCTGGGTCACACCCCCAGTGTTCCATTTCTGACCTGGCCCCACCCACGAACAGCACAGTTAACTATAAACTATGAGTGTAGCACCTCCCAAAAGCCCTGCCTACGATTGCATGAGGTTTTGGGGGGACATCTAAATATAAACTATAACATCATAGTATTTCCCCCTCTACTCCTGTTTCCCCACCTTGGGGAGAACAGGGAAACTGGGTGCTGGTCCTTCACTGCAGGCCATGTGAGAAGGACTAGGAAGGTAATACACAGGGCTCAACACATTTCCTCTACAAGGGCTTGGTGTTTGCTGTGTGCCCATGTAGCCTCATGGGGAGAGTGACGGCTGAAACAATATGTCTTCTGACACAGCTGAGAGAAAGAGGACTGCTCCAGGAGGCAATGCCCATCTCCATGTCCTGGGAAGGATAGGAAGCCCTTCTACTATGGCTGTCCTCATCTATTCCTATTGCTATAACACAAATTTATTTCTCACACTTCAAGAGGCTGAGAAGACCAAGATGAAGGGACCAGCAAATTTTGGGTTTGGTGAGGGTCTGTTGTGTAGAGCAGGCTGTACTTGCTGTGAGTTGCTCTGGGCTGTACAGAGCAATAGCTTTCTGGGATGTGCTTTATCTTGAGTAATTCCATTCACAGGCTGGCATTTGCTCCACTTTATGTGCAGATGCTGTGGCAGGATGACACAGTGACTTGTCTGTGCAGCCAGATGACACCAGCTATTGGGCACTCCACACTGACCAAAAAGAACAATGCTGGCTTCACAGCACAATCCCGGGGCACCCGCTGATGCCCACCTTAGTCACGCTACTGAGTGAGCTCCTGTGAACTTATCAGGGTGAATTGGGGGCGCATAGACACATGACGCATCAAAGCCACATCAGGGAAACCAGACCTGTTGCTATGGGCCATCCCAGACCAGTGAATGACACAACCCCTCCTTTGGGTCATAGAGATGGAGGGACCCCCAACACCGGGGCCAGCTGTGACACACGCTGACCTGCTGGCTCATTAGATTACCTGGAGAATGTGTCACGAGGATGACAGGTCGAACCCCAGCTCTCTATCCCCAGTTTCATCTCCTGCTTGATGCTGCCCTCTTGAACTGCCTGATGTCTGGACTTGGACTTTGAGTAAGTTCTGTGTGCTCAGCAAGCCCTGTGCCTGGGACAAGCTCTGCTGGTCTGTAGTTGTAGCTGGGCACTTGCGGTGACTTTTCACAACTGTGTGCTCCCCACCTTTGATTTCAGCCCTGCCTCTAGGAATCCCACAGTCACTGTTAACTGAGTTACTCTGTAACCTGCATATTATGGTGGTCAGTGTAACTTAAGCATCACAGATCTTGGTGACTTTGAATGGAACAAAATAAATTGTATTGTCTTGTTCATGGCTATCAAGTGGGAAGTTCAGTGAGGTAAAGATGACACAGTGGTGCTGCTTGTCAGTTTACTGTTATCCCATAAATTATGATATTGTGGAGAGATACAACATATCTGGTCTATGCTAACAGCTCATTCATGGCGCAGGTTCTCACTGATGATGTCTTTCGTGGTCTACACAAGGTGGGAAAAGTTGATACTATAAAAAGGAAAAGCTCCCTCTCACCTCTTTTATGAATGCACTTTCTATTTGTACAGACCTCCTTAGGGCCACAACTCTTTTTTTTTTTTTTT